TCAAGGGATTCAATTTCGCGAAGTTTCGACAACTGCCGACGAACTATAATGAAGGCAACAACTAAATGAAAGACTTCAAAGGCTGAAGAATGTTGAAACTTTGAAGCTGATCCCAATGAGGCCGCGGTGTTTAGTCTGCCTCGTTATAGGGTAATGATATTTTGGGGCATTTTTAGTAAGAAAACAATTTCTAGGTAACTAAAAACACTAAACTTTTATAATGACCGTAGTAGATATTCATAATAGACGTCAAACCGCTCTCATGGTCTACTCCACAAAAGTATAAGAAAGGCTGCAATACGTACCATGATCACTCTGTCAAGTTTACGAGTACCTAGGTAATACAGGGAGGAATATTATTTACATTACATTTATTTATTTATTTTTATTTATTTATACTTCAGCACACAAAGTAACAAATGCACTGTGGCGGACTTAATGCCGGATGGCATTCTCTGCCAGTCAACCACGGGTCATGCAGAAAGAGTAAGGCGGTGCAAAAAATTCGCCGAGCATCTCGCAGTTTAAATTTTAAATATACAACTTGAACCCGCGACCTTGCGCTTGCCTCATTATCTTAGTTTATTTTTGTCAATAAGTAATTTTTAAGGGAGCTGCCCTATAGAAACAGTAACAGTTACAGTACATGGGCAGTACAACAGCAGCTTTTGTGTAAGAGCTTTCTTAGAGGATTAATTGATTTTTTAAGGTAAATCTCTAGCAGTATCTGATTAAAAAAACTATTAATCACAGCATTCAAAATCAAATTAAAACTTTAAATATAAACTCAGAGGCCGATGCTCTTTCACTAACAAATTGAGATCACATAGGTCGCAGTATGACAGGGTCGCATTAAAGGTCGCAGTAGTGACTACCGCTCTGTATAATGTCATTGCCAAATCCATACTCGTACGAATGATAGTAAAATTCTCCCTGTATTATTGTAATCAAAACATCTGTGAAAGCAATAGCCGGACTAGAAACCGACAGCCCCGTGCAATGTAAACACATGTCTTGGGTGAGGATTGTCTTCCGGACATAATGGAAAAGGGTGAAGTAGGTCTTCCCCAACGGGTTTTTATTTTTACCTTATTTTTATAGCAGTTTTCTACAAAGAAGTTTTCAGAGATCTCTTTTTATGTTAGACAATGTCTAAACTAGTAACTATTATTATGCGCGCAATACTGTGCGCAATAATGATGATTTTAAGTCAATAATTATCTTTTTTTTTAATTTATTAATTTGGACCACAAACAGATTCACAATGTACTACAAGCTAGTTTTATAGATAGAGCCTATCATGAATCCAACATCGCTGGTCACAATTTTAAAATTACGTATAATTTCATAATTTAAAAGAGTTAAAACAATATAAAAAATCTTGCAATAGAAAATTACTGGATTACCATTGTGAGAAGAGTTAAATATTAGTTGTAAGCACTGATACTACTGTAGTATTACTCTATTATGTAAATAAGGTTGGAAGCTTGTTTTCCTTCAATCCCAATCGTTTGTTTTTGTGGAAGCACAGATTCCCTGAAATCCCTTGATGACTTTGTCAATTTGCGAAGCTTTGCCGAATAAATTATTGCGACTACCCACATTTCCAATGTTGGGTAGAGTTTAAGTTCGACTTAAAGCTTTCTTACAAAGCTTGCGTGGATAAAAGGAAGTCTTATGTCCAACTGAGGACAATGCCAATAAAGACTACTCTTTAGGTGTCTAAATCAAATCTTATTACCATTCGTTATTCGATTTTTATTAGCGTTCTACTAGAAATTGAGTGGCGACCACGAGCCGGAAGATGTAGCGTGGGGAGGCCTCCCACTAGGTGGACCGACGATCTGGTGAAGGTCGCGGGAGGTGCCTGAATGCGAGCGGCGCAGGATCGGTCTTCGTGGAAATCCTTGGGGGAGGCCTTTGTCCAACAGTGGACGTCTTTCGGTTGAAACGAACGAACTAGATATTTTAATGAGGGGTAACCATAGAGACGTCGGCAGAGTTGCTACGGTGTCTTAATTTCATGAAAAAGCTACGGAAAAAGCTTTTTGGAAGACGCTTAAATTGTGACAATACATTCTGTGTCTGCAATAATTTTGTCGTAGGTCTTCATCAAACATAGTGCTTTAGTGTGTCGTTATGTAGATATGTAGTGTGTTATGATTTGAAAATTGTGAGCGTACCTATCTATACTAATACTAATATTATAAATGCGAAAGTAACTCTGTCTGTCTGTCGGTCTTGCTTTCACGCCTAAACCACTGAACCAATTTTGATGAAATTTGGTATAGAGATAGTTTCAGTTCCGGGAAAGGACATAGGATAGTTTTTATCCCGGTTTTTGAAACAGGGACGCGACGCGCGCGATAAAGTTTTTCTGTGACAGACAAAATTCCACGCGGGCGAAGCCGCGGGCGGTAAGCTAGTATTCTTATAAGTAATTACAAGTACCATGCTTAAATTATATAGCGAATAATGCTAATTACAGGTTTTCCTTCAATTACATCTTTATCTCGGATATTTTTCACGCTCGCTGTACAACATAAATCTAAATAAATAGCCGTTTCAGACATACGCATGTAAACAGTATGACTGTACAAGCCGGAAACGTCGAATTACATTTATATTAGCTGGCTCTATTTATGGATACTTCCACTTGGCTACTCCGTGACGCTAATGGTGAACTGGTAATGAGATCTATAAAGATCTTTGTTTAAATTAAAGCTAGAAGCTAGATTGATGGCTAAAAAAACTATGTACGAGTATATACCTACACATACAGGGTGACTTTGCAAACAATTGCCAAATTTTTAGGAGCGACTCAGGATCAGTAAGATAATAGATTTACGTAAAGAAAACAACATTTTTTTTATCTGCTGCGTGTGGTTTCAAAATTGACTTACGTGTATAATTTAGTTCGTTCATAAAAAAATACGCATACACAGTTAACTGCAAAGCTTAATAGACTTTTTATGGTGCGCGAAAATAAGCCTTAGCCTTTAAAACTTACGATAGGCACCCGCGAATTACACTTTCTATATTTTTTTTCTCGAAAAATACAACGAACCAAAATAATTACGATAAAGTTATATTGTTCTATAGAGCTTATCAAAAAAATTGGCAACTGTTTGCAATTTCACCCTGTATATGTCTGCCCCGGACATCGAACCGTGGATGGTGGAACAACCTACGTGACGCGCATGGGATGAACAAACGGAGACGAATTATGAATAAAGTCTTCATTATACGAACGAATGCGAACAATGTTCAGTTCGCGAGTGAACCTAGGGCATCGATCCATTTATTTATTTTGGAATACCAGTGTTTTACAATATGTTAAGCAAGTAAAGTTTTTTTTACTCTCTTTAGCAATGAAGAATGTTCACTAATTTTGTTTTTTAGCTTTCTGTATTCTCTGTTAAAAATAAAAAATACGCGTGAAAGAATTATTTCGATACGTCAATTAGTTTCCAAGATATTGAATTTTAAAAGTGCGGCCGGCGGCCGGCCCGCCATTGTATGCGCGTGACGTCATATTACAACGACTGGCTCATATTTGTATGGGTGGAATCTTGCAAACTGAATTAAGACCCACTTCCAGGCAACCGATTAAGCTGAAATTTCGCAAACACATGTGATTTGGATGACCATGCAATATTATGATGACATGGAGCTGATCTGATGATGGAGCTGGAAGGTGGCCATAGGAACTCTATAATAAAACGACTTAAATGCATCGAGTTTGGGCTCGTTCGTTTTGTATTGATGAGTATTTTAATTCTATATAGTAATCGGGGTCTAATGATGGAGCTGGAAGGTAATTCGCAATAAAACGACACAATCGCATCAAGTTTGGGTTTGGTTCAATTTTAATTTCTGTGATGGGTCTGGGTGTTAATATGTATAATAAGTTTGTATTTACAAAAAAAAAATATTTAAGTATGTTTATATCCGTTTTCTAGTGAGCGGACACTGTGAATGTACGTCACGCGGGGTCACGTGACCGTCGGCGGGACTCAATATTTAAGCGAACTTTGAATGCCTATAAAATCATAACTACTGGATATTTTTGAATGAAATAAAAACTAATGTATTTGTAAATGTAAAAGCTTAACTGTAACATAGGTTTCAAGTGATTTTCCATACCTAGTAACATTCTCAATTCCATAATCAAGTGACTAAGCAAGTCACTATAATTATTAATCAGTAATCTCTTCACTACACTGCTGTACTGTAGAAAATTGCTGAAAACCGTAGTGGTGCCGCCATAATATAATCTTTTCTATTTTTAAACTTTCGCGCCTAATCTAAGGTTTTTTTTCTAATCACATGAATATCGGTGTTTCGCCAGCAAAACACTAAAATCCCTCCTCCTTCCGCAACGTCTATGCCCTCTGCGTGGACTAGATAAACATTAGTTTGGCTCGCAATGTGACCAGGGAAGGAGCTCCCGCGCCGCGTTCAGTCCCACAGCTCTGGACTGAATTTATTTATCGTTTTATATTGTGTTAATCGCATTTTGGAGATCTCCCGCGAGTGTATTTCGTGGACCACATATAGTGCAGTACATTGGGTGTGTGAAATACCTCCTAACTCGATCATCATCATCGAAGAAGACGTCCACGTAGACAATACCACCTGGATGCCAGCGCCCGGAAAACCCAGCTCACCAATAAATAATAATAATAATAAATAATAATTTTGCTGGCCCACGTTCACTTTTATTTCTCATTATTTTATGGAGATCAGTTGTCATTCAAAGCAAAATAGTACAAACCGCAAAACCAACACCTACAGTCCACTCCAGGAGTTTCGACTCCTAACCGCGGTGTGAAGGGAATAATTTACTTTCATACTAACGGTGGTTCCATCTTGTTTTTGGCCACACCACGTAGTATGAAATGGTATAGTAGCTTTGAAAAGTCTGTGTTACTTTTAAAGTACGACTATGTAGGGTTTTGCTATGATTTTGGTATAAATGAAACGCAACTGAAACTCACCTATACAAGTCACCGATCGACCGAACAATCGAGCCTTGTCGCACTTCCATGCGCTTACACTTGCAGCACCAAGTCACTTCACTTCACTTCGCTTCGCTTCTCGTCACTTCACTTGGCTTCGCTTCTCGTCACTTCACTCGGCTTCTAACTAGGAATTTGAATAGGGAGGGGCTAGCTAGGTTACTTAACGTGGGGTTTTGGGGGGTGATTATAAATTAGGGTTTTATTGTATAAGTCGCTGTCTTTTATTCGGGTGGAGGTTGGTCCCCTGGAACAAAGAAACAGGATATCAGTCTATTTCGAATATTATATACTTAGATGATTATTGTATTTTTTAGCATCAAACATTTTAAGTATTTATTTAGAGCACCAACAAGGAACACCATTACTGAATAAAAACAATACAAAAATTTCTTTTTATTAATTTATTTTGTATCAGAGGTTTTTTAATATGGGCTTGTTTTTTATAACGCCTAGGGATAGATACAATGCGATGTATGACTGTCCAAAGATAACTACTTACTCGTGACTTGAAGGTCTTAGGGTATTATCGCCCGTATTCCTAAACGATGCTTGCTTAAGTGAAGCAGCAAATCGAACGCACAGCGTTGAATAGAGCTCTGCGATTGGTTCGTGTGTCACCCTGTGCGCCACGCGCACTATGAGATCTCATAGTAATGTTTGTGAATACGGGCGTATATGAGTTAGGAAACAGAGGCTGGCAGGGAGTTTATTTCCCCCCAGGGACTAGGGGCTATCATAAGTGATAGCCTTCATTGGTTGGCATTTATTAGTTGTTACGAAAGAGATGGGAATATCACAATATAAAAGCTTATAACGATGCTTTAACTCTATATCTGTTTAACGGTACCATTGGAACAAAACTTTGATAAAGTAGAAATTTATTTATTTATTTATTTACACTTTTGCACATATAACTGTACAGTGGCGGACTTAATGCTATAAGTATACAAGTCATTGCAACTTTAAGACCAAAATCACTTATTTCAATTTCATGTTACAACCAATAACAACTTAAAGTTTATTTAAAAAAATGTTACCAACATTTTCTTGGATAAAATGAAAATGAAACACTCTTTGCAAGATCCCTGTAAACAAACCACACATCATCTAACAGGAGCTTCTTTGAGATACGAGAGTCAATGAACCGAAACTCATTACCCACCTTTGATCAACACGATAAAGTAAAAGGGATTGGGTTGGGCTTAATAGTACAGCCTTCATAAAACCTATCGTTAGGAGTGTTATTTTTTATGCAAATGAATATAGGAAGAGTCAATTAATTTGACTGGGTAGGCTTCCGCGTGGAATGGTGTGTAAGGTATTTTTAGTAGCAATAGTAGGTACAATCAATTCGATTCGATGTAATGTAACGTCGTCAAGGAAAAACTTGGAAGTGGGTCTACTTATTAAGTACCAGTTAAATTGGTCAAAACTAAATAAATCTTTTTCATTTTCAAGGGTTTATACAGGGCAACTAATGACGGTAGGTCTCGTAGTATATCTGTCAGAATAACCCTAGACTACCTCCCCTTAACGGCTCCACCACTAATTACCAGTCAACCTGTATGTATAGTGTCGAATTCAAACCTCTGGCATATTAGCAGAGTTTTCAAAGTTCCTAATCACTCGGCAAATTAAATACCTAACAGATACTAAGGTCTACAAGTACCTTAAAAACAAATGTTAAATTCTTGTTTAAAAAACACAAATACGCGAACTAAAAAATAAAAGGATGATGAAAAACAAATATCAATTAACGGTAACGGATCGGCAGTAAGACACAGAAGCTCCTCCTTTCTCGAAGTCGGTTAAAATATGTTTTCTTTACACAAAAGCTTCGAGATAACAACAACCAACCCAAAAGTTTTAAGCGAACTGAAACCCGAGCGGGAGGGGGCGCTAAAAGCGTGTTGGTTAACCTGTCTCTCTGACAGGATGGCCGAAATGAGGGTAGAATAACTTAGCTGGGAGTGGTTAGTGGGTTACTTTGTAAGAGGTCCGGGTTTGATTCCCAGATGTATAGAAAACTAGCTTTCCGCCTACGGCTTCGCCCGCGTGGACTACATTATTAGCCTATAGTGGACCATTACTTAACTTCTCTGGTTGATTTTTTACACCTTGTGTCCGAAAAACCCAAATATTTTACGGAACCTTATTTTATAATATTAGTGTATTATAAAATAAGGTTCATTAGTGTATTTTATAATATTAGTGTATTAGATTACCTACATAATGAAGTGATTTTTGGATAAAAATAGTTTTGTTTTTTGGAGGGCACGATTGATGAGGAATCTGTTCTTGGCCGATTGTTATGGTAAAATGAAATAAAACTAGAACGGTCTTTTGATGGTTTTCAGAAAGGAACACTCCAGACAATGTTGAAACTTCAAAATTCATGAATTAGAAACAAAATCACCGACTCATTAACTTTCTTGAAGAATGTGGATGTCTTTTCAACGAGAACTGCTTTATATTAAGCTGAAACTTAAATCCTAAATCCATCCTATAGTTTAATTTGAGGAGACAATAGCTTCACAAAAATCCATTCAACAGTTTCTGCACAAAAGAGTCTAACGCTTCACAAACGATGCTTGCTTAAGTGAAGCAGTAAATCGAACGCACAGCGTTGAATAGAGCTCTGTGATTGGCCCGTGTGTCACCCTGTGCATCCACGCGCACTGTGAGACCTCATAATAATGTTTGTGAATACGGGCGTAATAAGCATCCATCTTAGCAAAATAATATTAGTAGGTAGTATTGAACCCGAAGGATCGATCGATACTAAAGCCTGGTCCGTGAGCAGCACGTAGAATTTTGTCCAATGACCCCAAGCTACCCATCCTTATCGCTCGCGTGTAATTATATTGCTGTCGCGACTGTGCGACGGGCACCCGCAGTGAGTGTGCGAGCGCGACAGCAACATAATTACGCGCGTCTAGTAGTTACCTTAAGAGCGTTGTAGCAAAAAGTTGGCGTTCGAATTTTAGGTTTTTATTGCTTGACGTCGCGTAGTGAGTGCGCAAACTGCATTTATCTGTACAATTTCAACGCTGCGTCGACTAAACGATCTTAATCCGTAGTTGTATCGTACCTAAGCTAAGACAGTACATCATACATAATAATAAAGAAATAATGTATAATTTACCTATTTGATTTTTTCTCAGATCAGACTTTTAGCAAAATCAAGTTACGTAATTAATGTATTTTTTACACTAGTAAATCCCGCGACAAGTTTTTAATCTTTAAATTGAGTAAAGTAATAAGTTGATGGGTTTGAAAGAATTTATGTTTTATTTTATTCTTTTTACAGCATCAAAAGCTTGTTTATGAAAAATATTTACTATTTAAATTTTACTTTTGACTTTTTAGTTTTATGATGCGGGTTGGAAAAATTAAAATTTATTCTGATTTTGTGACGTTTCCGCACATAAATATGGATAGGTTAAATAAATAGAATGAAATGTATGAAAACGAGCGTGCCATTTTTTAAACGTTATCTATAATATCTGTGTCCATCAAAGAGCTCGTAACTAAACATCGTAAGCGCCATTCAAATTATTATCTAAAAGTTAATAATAAATATTTAGTTTTTGTTTAATTTTTCATTTGAAGATTGAAGATAGATATTTTTTCTTTTTCACACAATAATAGTACTATGTTTCTTCTTAAGTATAAAGTAGTTTATGTTGCCAAATGACTTTTAGATTATGAGATGTGACCTGTTTTCTTGCAGTAATTTTCTCGAATTTTGACTATCTTAGACATGATAAAAATGCATTTTAATGAATTAAACATCAAAATTTTCTCAATACACTTTCTTCTTCAGGGTATGCTTATTCTAATGAATACATTCTATCTTCTTACTTAGAAATAAATTTGTTGTAATATTAGTTCAAAGTTGTGCCTTCGCGAGTTACCTGGAAATCGGGCTTTCGAAATTCGCTGTTTTCGTAGGCAAAAATCCAATTTGAACGAGATTTTGTCAATAGACATTCCGTAAAAACGTATGATAATTACGATGATATAAGTTAAAAGAAGCTATAACAATAAATTATATGACTAAAATCATTTCGAAATCTGCCAAATTCTCGATTTCTGCATGAAAAATGTGACAACGCTCTTAAGCGTAACCTAGTCTATTACACCTAGATTCCTAGCAACAGGCGATAATTTATCCAGTTCCAAGGTCACCGAGGCAATTAGCAGGCATTGCCCTTCCCTCAGGACTAGGCATGAGCTGTCGACCGGGAAGCGATCGACCTTGTGCCCTCCTAGACAAGGCATTTGTGACAGATTCGATTTCGCTATCGCTTCACGGAGCGAAGTAGATTTACAAAAGAAGCACATCACACAAACAGTTTTTTCAGTTTCCAGTGAAAAAGAATAATTTAAAAACCAAATTTCAATTGTTTTCATTAAGTTTCTTCATTGATAATGGACAATATTTCAGTGTAAATTAATTTGGTAAAACATTTAATTTAATACTACAGTATTTTCTACAATTTGTCTTTCACAAGCTTCTTCTTGTCGTGTCGACAACAAACCTACACAGTGTCAGCCCAAAACTCCGCTACAAGAGTGGCGTTGTCAGTAGCATTAATTAAATCTTGATTTGGGTTTCTGAAGCTTAAACACACAATTATGACATAAGTATGGAAAAACGGAGTGATCGAAAGTTGTACAGAACCCTGTACAGGCAACATTATTTTGTTCACTGCACCTACACAAAGTCTATAAACTCTATGCATCGCCCACATCAAAGTGGAGGATACATTCATCTATTGCTTGTGGAAGCGATCAATCCAGATTGTCTGCTCAGTCAACGGCGACGTCATTGTAATGGGGACACACGGGCGAAAAGCTCACAGAAAGCTCTGAACTAACAGAACTTTCCATGAAACAAACTTTGAATATATTTACCTATCTAGGTACTTTATTTTTGCCTGTAGACCCTGTAGTATAGCGCGAGTTACAAATCATATATCAATCAGTCCCTTATTTATAATGCCAGTTCCTCTGTGGTTGAGGATTCCGGGTGAAGCTCGCTTCCACCTTCGGCCTGATCATCACTTACCATCAGGTGAGATACAAGCCAAGAGCTTCCTCGTTGTGGATAAAAAAAAGATACAGGACTTAATCAAAATATTTTTTACTAATGATATGAATGGTGTTAGTTAAAAGCAGGATAGGTCCTACAACCTATCTGATTTCTTTTTGTTAAAAAACATTACATTACATCGTCCA